TGGTCAAGGGGGTTAGAACCAAGGCGGCCAAGGCAGCCACGGAGGGGGCCAAGGGTACGGGAGACCCCGCTTCGACTGGCGGAACGCAACTTATTGGCATTGTGGCGAGGTGGGCCACACTGTACGATTCTGCCAACAGCGGCGGAACGACGAAAAAGCAGGATTAATCTCCACCTGTATGGACGGGGATATATACGACCGGTGGGGAACGCRTATTGACCCCAAGACCTCAGGAGGAATCAGGCAGGAAGCCCTCAGGCGGGCAGCGGCCGGGCCTCCAGCAGCCCCAACAATGTTTAGGATATGGCAGGAAAGGCAAGACCCCTGCGTAAGAGTCGAGGAGATTGTGGATGAAAATGAGGAAGTAACTCAGCGGTTGAAGGCGGGGACTATAAAGGAGGAGCCCATAGTTGTTGAGTCTGACGATGAGGCGCAGGAGGTGGTGAGAGAGTCAGCCTCGACCATCCTGGAGAGGATGGAGGACCTGCTTGCRAAGGTCGRTAGGTATCAGGAACGACTAAGGGCAATGTGTGAAAAGGCCCGGGAATGGGAAATGAGCCTTCCAGAGGTGATGCTCTATGGGTCCGGTGGACGTAGGGGAGGCCGAGTGACTTTTAGGGTCGCCGTGGGGCATCGCCCCGACTGCAGTCCTTCGGGACATCCGTTGAGGTTGGAACGATACGGAGGAGACAAGCGTGGCCCCGACGTCGGGGGCGGATCGTWTAAATGGGAGGAGGCCGTTGGCCGGACGGGTTGTTCGGCATTTAGCAGACTATCGGACTGTACGGCTTGGAGGGGCCGGTGGTGACATCACCATCAGACGAACGTCGCGGGCATAGCGCTACGGCGGGGCRGATAGGACAACGAAGGTAGGAAGGAGAAAGGGCGATTGAACCGGGACGGTTGGTCGCGCTGGGGGCATTCGGAGCTGCGACGGGCTAAGCGGGCAGGCGCTGAAGGGGTCGGCTGAACCCGGGCGCGATTTCTTGCCGGGTGCATGCAGGCGGAATGGAGATGGCGTAGGCGGGGAGTAGGACTGGGCACAGTGGGGAAGAGATGGCTCGCTCGTTCCTTAACGGAATCGAGCGAGGGAAGATGCAATTTTGAGATTTGGATGCCGGCGAGCAGGGTTGTCGACCCCCGGACCCGGGGCCC